TATCGACCGACACCTGAAGGGGCGACTTACTGATCGGTATCTGATAGCCGTCAGCGTCGGTCAGACCGTAATCATCTTGAGTCAGGTCCTGGTACTGGATGTGTCCGTTCTGGTAGTTGGGTTTAATGGTGGAACTGCTGGAACAGCTCTGAGCTGATGATGAATTGCTTGAGTTCTTTATACTATGAGATGAGTGTCCTATTTATTGGAGAATTGGAAAATATAAGTTAAAATTCCGGAAAAGTTTTTCAAATAAACTTTTTAAGTCATAATATGGTGTTTTTTAGTGTGTTTTAGAAGTATACAGGTACAATTAGATTGCAAAACAAACAGTTATTATATGGAGATAATGCTTTTTACGAGTAATCAAAATTGGAAAACATTTAGAAAGCAATACAAATATGTGTTAGTGATTATGGTTATGATAATGGAAAGGTGTTTTTTTGTGAACGTATGATCACTACCTGCCTGTCTCTCATCCTCATTATAGCCGGGGTTATCAAATCCTCCTAAAGCGTCAACACGTACGGGAAAAACAAAAAAATAATAGGCATGAAAGCAAACACAAATTATTTCAATGAATTGCAAAACAAAATCCAAACAAAGCGTTAATTATAAGTATAGAAAGTCGAAAGGAAATAGAAGTTCAGGCAATCAGAGGCTAGAAAATTATTAGTGCAGACAATATATGCAGCGTTTGATGGCATAGATGACCATCTGATAGATAATAAGCGCAACACAATCACCAATAAATTATTCAGCAGACATGCATAACATGGAAGTGAACCCAGACATTAAACCACCATTTCCTGCGCCCATTAACTCCCACTACAATTAACTCAGTGAAACTTACGGCTGAATATGTAGTTCTGGTTGTGGACAGCAGTGATAGCCGGCTCACTGCCCGACATATTTCGCTTAATCTTTTCCAATGTCTGCAGGCATTCAGAGAAGTTAGGTCTGTCCTCGCTCTGGAAGTTCCAACACCTCTTCATTAGGCCATACCTAATATGGTGTAACATTAAATCATCAGTAAGAATAACTTTTAATTAGTAAATTAAACATAATTTTTTGAAAATACACGTACAACTCATCGGGGCAATTGTGGGGCCGGTCCAGTGTTCGTCCGGTTATGACATAATTAAACACTTCTTCGTTGTCTTTGGCTAAACTGTATGGGCTTTGGCCTAACGTCAGGATTTCGTATAGAA